CATTGAGCGAAGAGATTTGTGACCGACCGCAGAATGTGCAAGAGCGATGAGGCGCTAGAGACGAATTCCAAAGAAGGAAGCGACGATGGCAATCTGGCACCTTCCCGCCTCGCAGCATCTACGGAAAGCGCTTCCTACTGCGCGCCGTCTTCAGAGCAGTCAACACTACTACATCCGCACGTCTCTGTGGCTTCTACATTCGATTTCTGAATTAACGCCACTTGTTTCTCACCCCGCGACGTCACATGAAACATGCAGTCTCTATCATTTCTTCTTCTCCACCGTCAGTCACATCACATCACGCCCATCTACTCGGATCACGATTCCGTCACCCGCATCAACGGCCAGTACCAAGCTTTTCCTTCTTATCAAACTTCTTACACGTCCAACCTCCATCAATCTGCCTTAGCGGATCGTGCCGTCATTCGAAACAATCGCTGGCTTGAAACGAAACGTCAGCCCTGCCAGGCTATCCCAACGGCTACCTAGGTAAATCCGACGCACGCGGCTCGGTAGCCACAACACCAACGCCAGTCCTTCTTTTCGTGCCTCAGGTGCTTCAAGGCATTGAAGTGCCAAGGTGTAGTAGATATGAGGGGTGGACGTCTCCACGATACTACGACTTCTACTGCTTCTTGTAAATGGTCTTTGGGTCTGCCACCGGCTCAATGGCTAATCTAGAGTGTACACTTGAAGAGTAAAGTTCTAGAATGCGTTTAAAGCCGAACTCTCCATCGCGATCCCGGAGTCATCAAGAACTGATTGATTCGTCCAGGCGTATCCATGGGCATACTGTACATTATGACGTGCTGCATCGGAAACATGCACTTGGGGAACGGGTGGACTGTTAGTGCTGACCGCGAGAGTTCACGGTAGATCATGTACCCATGTACGCTACTCCGTCGCTTCGGCTACCCATTCTGCAAATAAAGTTAATTATCTTAGGCAGAAGTAAAGATGCGAGAGAGCTTGATCCTGGTTTCCGCTGATGCACTACTCCTGCTAGGAAGAGCCCAAATGAATTATACATTCTACATCCTGAGGGATGCTGTTTCTTTCGCCACGTCCACCAATATGTTATATGAAGATCCATCGATATATCTTGCAGATGTATTGCACGTCCTGTACGCGATCTATCCCATGCATTACGGACAAACCGAGACTCTCCGTTCACTTTGCGGTTGAAGGTTGATATACATGTTTCTCAAGCCGTAAACAGTAGTCTTGCCATGTACTTAGCACATTCCTCCGCTATCTACTATGGCCGCTTTAGTTATCTTATGTGGTACGTGTCTTAGAGATGCTTTTGGGAAAGGACAAGCGGAGATCACACGAAAGCCGGTCACACCAAGTACTACGGCATAAGCAATGGCACGTCACTGCAGATGCGAACTAGACCAAAGGCTGCGCAGCGCTTTCATATTTCCAAGAATCATCTCCCTGAACGAGTGTAAGATCATCTATTCCAACACCAGAATCCAAACATACTTCAGCATGCAACGAAGGTAAGGACAGTGTCAACCATAACTCTCAGTACCCGTCGGTCAGCGAGATCCTCCAGCCAACCCCATCTAGCCGTCGCTCAACACTTCCACGTAAGCTGAACGCCGCAGTCAGTGGCGAAAGGAGGGCTAACGCGAGAGCACTGAGCGTTAAAACCGCCATCAGCGTTCTCGATCCAGCGTGTATCAGTTCCGCAACCTCTGACGACATCTGCGTACGGAAAGCAATTAGCAAAAGGACGCGTCTGCGATTTGGGGGTTGGGCGAAAGAGAAGCAGTGCTTACAGCTGAAACCGTTCCTCAGCTTCACCGGGGAGCCGCAGTTGGGGTTGACCACCCCGCTGCATGAGTTGTCACCGTAGATCCACATCACTGGCCTGTTGTCAGATTTCAGTTCAACCTGTAGGAGGTCGTCGACTTACGGTTGTTACTATCGTTGTTGCCCAGGACAATCGTAGCTGCGGCCTGAGAGGCGAAGAGGCCAAAGGCTACTGCGATGATGGAGACGGAATGCATGATTGTGATTGAGCGTGGAGGTGTTGGTTGTCTTGGTGAGGAGTTGAAGTGATGAGGGTGGTGGATATTCGTTGCAATCGACCATGAATTTATACTTCGATTTCATCGTCGGCACGTACTTGCTGGTATCATAGCGTATAGTTGCATCTTGATGCCGTCGCTGATATTTACAGCAAGCAATACGACACGGAGTGGAAAGCTTCCTAGGTCGTCCATGAGACATGTTGCATGCTGATGCTGGTGTAGCATTTGTCAATCCTGGTTCACGGGGTAAATGACAGAGCTCGTGGTATTCGCGCTCTCAGCAGATGCACGCCTAGGTGATGTAGGACAATATACCTTAGGGTTGACATGTACTACAATGCTCGTCTGATATGGCAAGTCCTAGATACTTGGCGTCAGCAGTAATATATCTTCCGGCCTCAATGCGGTCGCTCCGTGCCACTGCCGAAGAGTAGGATTGTTTGTCATTGGGATATCAGAAAGCTAAAATAGGAACCGCAAAACGTGTATATCTAGCCAGCAACAATCTCGGTAAGTGCACGTGATGATGGCTGGATACCTGGAGACATGTACTAGGAGTACAAAGCTCACTTATCGACACCGAAACATATCTAGGTATTCTGAAAGTAATGGACATCTGAAGGTTTCAACAGCAACACATCAATGAACCAAGATACGGTGTATAGACGTGGATCTGTCGTTCTCGAGCGTGGGGCTTTCGTAGGGCGACTGCGCAGAAGCTCACGTTTGGCAAGTTGCAACGAATACCCTGTATAGAAGAATACATCATCTTACTTCTTGTAAGCCTATGATCTGCGAGAGTGATGAGTACATACACGCGACATCCGTTGTCTCGTACGACTTTGAACCAGCGGGCTTGTTCGTGTTAGGTACCTGAGTAACCGAGATTTTTTAGCAGCATTGCCCCACCTTTGGCGCGCAAATGTTGGCAAAATCTCGACCAAGCGCAACAGCTCTCAGCTTCGTTACAACGAGCATGTGTTTGTCATAACAGCAAGCGTCTCTTCTTCCTCAAGCAACTGGAGCAAGCCAATCGTCTCGATGAAAAAGGGTAATTCGCGTCAGCCTCAGATAGTGCGATAGAGGCGACACTGTGCCAGAGGATATGAGCAAGCCCAGGGATCCTCCGGCTGGTTTCAAAAATAAGAATAATCTTGAAGTTCCCGTAGGAACGTTCTGCGGTGATGTTAGCGACGAGATCTTCGAGCGTGTGAGATGGAAAGAGGAACGTACTCAGAGATTAAACTGAAAAGAACAGATACTACACTTGATCTAAGCCAAAAGGCAAAGAGAGCTAAAGAGCAGAAGGAGGGACGGAGGGGGGTGGGTTTATATACCTGGGCGAAAAGTCTGAGAGGCGCTAGCGCTCTAGCGTCCCCAGAGCGTTGCCTGGGAGATGGTGACGTGGAAAGCCGTAGAAAGACGCAAAGGTGGGTTGGTAAATGTGGGACGCGAGGGCGGTGACGATGGATGGTTAGGTGGGGCTGCGATTCGATGTCCAAGGGCTGTGATGAGCCGACCTTCCGTTGTGCAATGAACACGGGTCGCAGGTCGAGTTGCATAAGATATGCATAATTCTGTTGCTACAGGCTGATAGATCCAGGCGAGTCCTTGCATAGTTTGTGAGAGGGCGATTTGGCTGGAACCGACTAATGCGGCGTGGCGGCCAGCGCACTTCGTACCTAGGTAGCGACGGCGTACTTCGATTCCGTCGGTAGAGCGAGCGCATCCTTACTCACCATGTCGCTGCTGCTACGTAGGAGGTCCGCTCGAATTCATCTGGGCGACATTCCCGGGTTCTTCGAGAGGCCCACCTGTATGGCCTGAATACGGGCTAGGTAAGGTTGGCGAACACAGACGAAGAGCCAACGTTTTTGTCGAGGTTTCTGTGAGCCGCCATTGTGACGAAATTGTTGCTTTCGAGCTTTGCGTCGGCTATACCGAGCCGTAGAGGTATGCGCTGGATTGGAAGTTAGCTTTTGATAACAAGTAGCGTGGTAGGTCAATCCACGGTCTATGATCTGTTGCAGCTACCTGGGTAGGGTTTATATCATCAGAAGAACGTCTTCATAGAGATCGACATATGAAAGAGAAGGAAGGGTACGGCAGTACTAGCTGAGGACGCGGTACATCGCGATCGCGTACCTACGCATATTTGCGGGCTGGCGGCAGCGACACCACCTTGGATGGCCACACGCAGCAATGATCGTATATTGCCACGGATGTCTCTTGCACGCGCGCTGCATTCGCAACACAACGCTGACGCTTCGGCGTTGTCGGTCTGTCGTTATGAGTGGAGGGGTCTGTGTAACCCGCGAAGAGCTGAGCAGACCTGCTCTGGGAACAGTACAACCATCCAGCCCACCGAACGAACAGTCACAACGATGCGCATACCGATAACTCACGTCTGAGAAGGTCAATGTAAGAGCAGATAGATGTAGGCTTCGCAAGAACGGTGATGGGTAGCAAGTACCTACCTAGGTAGGGAACGCAGTGGAATTAAAGTTGAGGCAGCCACGACTGAGCGCCGCAGAGTCGCAAGAACGGTCGCCTCATCCGATACTGCAAAGAGCTTCAACATCTACCCGCCCATTGTAAAGCCCGAGAGCTGCGTCTGAGAAGTCGGCGGCCGCTGCTGGTAATTAAAGATGATCACATACCATGGAGGACGTAAGTCTTGTGCACAATTTGAAGGAACATGATATGTATGGAGTAATACGCATTCCTTGGAGTGAATCTATGTTCAAGGCGTCATCGCAGGTACTTTTTGCTCTCTTCCCTCTAATCGCTGAATCGGGCTAGATACTACGCAAAGGAGCAAACGTTCTAGTGTATGACTATCGAGCCTTCCTTCACGAGAACGTACACGCAATTTCGACAGCTTCGTGCGCCTTTACATCTGGCGTACCAACTTGGTCGGACATTGAATAAGTCGGGTTACTCTATCATCCTTTCATCATGTCGGCGCCAGAAACAACCATCCCGGATCGCGCATTGCACGATGCAATCATTTTCGCTCTCTCGCTCAACACTCAGTCTGAGAAAGAAGAAGCCCTGAATGTAGCGCTCAAAAGCTGGAAAAGCGATGGCGACGAAACTCGCTCTCCTCACCTGCTCGTTCACATCCTTCAGAACATGTACAAGCTCCCAGAGCTACCTACAGGCCTCAAAAACCAAGACGCTTCCGACTATGATACGCTAAGAAAGGTCTGCAAAGAGCTCAAATTCACGCTACTTTTCGCGTCCGTGAAGAAATTGCTCGGCTGCAATCTCTACGTGGAAAACCGCCATTATCGGAGGTGGGAAAACAGCCGCCCTAAGATCGATCCGAAAGACGACACCTGCACCATCACCGTCGACCAGCTAAAGCTGATGCGAGTTGTCGACTTGAAAGGAAAGCCGCGTGAATTACGACTACCAGTGCGAGATACTGAAGTCACCCAGAAGGAGGCCTTCACACATGAGACTGCTAAGATTGAGATTGAGGACGGTGGCAACGAGATGGGAGGTGCGAGTGAGGCTTCGTTATTCCACCAGTAAGTTTGGCTCCTCTCTACGTGTCTGAAGCTAACTCGATCAAAGACATATCAAGACTGCGCTCGTCATCATTCCTCCACACAAATTCCGCGCCTTCGATATTCGCAACCGTTTCGCGCTCAGTCCCGAACGTAAGGGAGTCGAAGCTGCTCTCTTCATGGTCCCTGGATTCGAATATGCGAAAGCAGAGCCCATCGTCAAGTTGCTCAATGAAGCTACGGAGAAAGTGCGAGCACCCGACGCAGGCCCGGCTAGTCTTCCGGAACTACAGAGGCTCTGCAAGCTTTTGCTCGAATACCACGATCCAGGCCATTACCGCAAAGAGCGACAAGTCTTCATGTGCGCCAGGTTTCCCCTGATACCCGGGGAGGTGTTGGATCAGCTGACCGCTGTGTGCATCGAGCTTGGCTCCGCGGATCTGTGGCAGAAGGCTATGGAACAGCTCAGTGCCTCTTTCCAACGTCAAGTACGCGCCGATCTGACTATCGGTGCGATAGGTCGCTTGGTGTACAAGACACAAGATGCCGAGCATCTGAAGAAGGCAGATGGGCTCGTAAAGTCCCAGAATGGTATCAAAAAGAAGATGGAGATGTGTGATAGCGTCCAGGCAGTATACGACCGAGCTCGCGACGCAGACGAGTAAGTGACGACGGGCTCATCTAGCGCGGCAGTTCTAGTACTGACATTCCTTTTAGTAAGAGTGCTCAGTCAATCATACCAGCCGCCATGGTCACCTGGCGAGCCTCCATCATCCGCGAGACAGTACCTGGTAGTAAATTTATCACTCTCAGAGATTGCCTACCACTGCTTGAAAATGGCCGCGAGCTCGATGACGCTTTCATTGACGATACACTTCGCTCCATGGCCAAGTACGCTGGTATCGACGTCATCGAGGCCTTTCTCAAAGATGTGGCCAAGATCAACAGCAAGGTCCCAGACGCCGATATCCAACGTTACTGCAACATTGTTCTTGATTCGAGCGTCTCAACTCTCGAGAATGTCAGTTGGTATCACTTGAGATCCATGCGAAAGATACTACAGCATCATCTGTCGGTGGCTGAGCCTGCGATCCGCGAGTACTGTCTCAAGAAGCTGGGTGCGCAACGAAAAAGCCAGAGGTTCGGAAAGGAAAAGTTCACGACGATGAGGTTGGAGACTTCGTTCTAATATCTCAAACGTTTGGAGAGGAAGTCTTACCCCTCCTTCTCCCGCACCTGGGCGGCTTCCTAAACGATCTCCCCTGGATAGTCCAACTGCTCATCCAAGTCAAAGACTCGGAGGAGTGGGCTTCAGAAACTTTCCTCCCACAACTCAGCGCCACCGCCATCGAACCCGCCATCGAGCGAGCGAAACTAGTAGTCTCTAGACCAGACATACCCGTCGGCGAAATGATCCGCGATTCCTTCCCCTTCCGCAAAAACAAAGCTCCAGTTCGCGGCACCAATGAGGGAGACCGTGGTGTCACGATGGAGGAGTTGAAGTTGCTGATCCCGCTCCTCAAACACCTAGCGCTAGATCATATTGTGGATCGGCTGGCGCAGAGGATGCTGATGGACTTTGTTGACCTCGATCTCGAGAGCTTCCGCGACGTGCTCGGCGAGGAGAAGACTGATGAGATGATTGAGAAGAAGAGGGCGATTGAAGAGGCGAAGGAGGCGAAGAAAAGGAAGGCTGCTGATGATGGTGTAAGGGGGAAGAAGAAGAAGGGAAGAGGAGGTCGGCGATGAAGATGTGATACAAGCGAAAAGATGATGAGGCAGCGAGAGGACTACGGCACAGCATAAACAGCCAGATATGCAGAGTCAGCGGCAATGTAGGCGCCAGGGTGTTCACCTTTCTCCTTGATTGAGGCGAAACAGTACTCACACGTAGTCATAGTAAATCTACAAGACTACCAGAGCAAGTGTCTACTAGCTACAAGATGTGTTTCTCGGAGCGCTGGCCACCCAAGTACCGCCAGCAACCCACATCACTTACAACCCGTACGCCGTCTCGTGTTCTCAGATCTGCAACCCATCAGTGATAAACCTCTACGACATGCCCTCCCTTCAGCGCACTGCTTTGCTCTTTTTCTCCTGCCGACTGTCCGCTAACTCCATCGCCTTACGCTTCTTCGCCAAGTACGCCGTCTTCTTCTTTGCAAGCGCATCTTGAAATTCATCAACCTTGAGCTGGTCGGACCGCGCCATCTTGTCTGTCAACTTGTCCACCATCTCACCCAGGCCCATATCCTTCAGGAGTTGAAGGAAGCGTTCCAGCTCATCTTTCGTGGCGCCCGCATTGCCGTGATTAATCTCGCGGATTGTTTGATTGAATCTGCGGTTGTTGAGATAGAAACCGTCGATCGCAGGTCCGATAACCGCGTCAGCAAACTTCGGTAGGAACGCATCGGAAGTCCAAGGTTTCGAGCTTTTGACTCGAGTCAGGAGCTTGATCAACCACGGTATGTTGCGTGCGAAAGTCCGCGCTAGCAGCGGCAGAAGCACGAGCAGGTACTCCGCGCCTAGCTTCTGTTCTAGGACTATGAAGGATCCGGCGCTGTCGTCGTAGTCGTGTGAGTGCCCCAGATCTTTCGCCTGTAGAAGTTTCTTGCAGTAGTCTTGAACTGCGGTCTCTGGTAGTGGTAGGGATGAGGTTAGTAAGGTCTTCACTGCTTCTAGGTCATCTGTGCCGAAGCTATTTGGTACTTCGACGTTGGCGCTGAGGATGATTTCGCAGTATCTTTGGACGTCGCACTCTGGTGTCCCATCTTTCAGCTCAGTCATGCGTTGCAGGTAGCGCGCGACTTCTGGAGGCGTTGCGTTTTTAAAGACTTGGTGGAGGGTGTCTTGGATGAGTTGCTCGTCTTCGAGCACCCGGCCGGCTTGCGGGATCAGAGCATAGTCATCCATTTTGCTAGTCGCCAGGACTTTCCGGATCATGGATGATCTATAAGCTGCCAACGCTTCCGGCAGCGGGATCTTGGCAGAGGCACTGGAAAATATGTCAGCAAGAACCTGTATGGATGAGATTCGAAAGCCAGCACTTACTCGTTTCCTTCATGACTAGCTTCAAAAGCGACCTTGATCTTGTTGCATACGGCAATCGTCGTTTCAAGACCGTAAGTCCCGTTCACTAGATAGCTCGCATTCTCGGGGTATTCTTTGCCCAGCGATTGGTGAAGCGAACGGCAAAGCGTCTCAGCTGTGACATCGGCTTTCATCTGGGGCTTAGAGAGCCACCAGTCGTCGAGCATCTCGACTGCTCTCCTCCAGATGTCCTGTGAGTCGTACTCCACGCTTACAGCAGTCAGACGCTCTAAAGCCTCCCCGCGTATCGCTGGGAACCTTCTGAGTGTATACCAACCGCTCTTCTCTTTGTCGTAGTATCCGTAGAATAACTCGCATATTTCCCGGATGTGCTCGTCCTCCGCCGTGTTCACATGAAGCTTACGCACGTTTTTCGTTGCCTTATCGAGCATCTGAATGATGGTCTTCGAATCAGCCTGCGGTGAGCCAAGGTCCGGGCCGTATTGCTCCCAGAGATCCTCGTTGTGGTAGACGCGCTCCTTCACCGGAATAGTCAAGCATTGTCGAACTTCGTAAGCAGTGACATTACGAGGAGGAATAATGACAAGTGCCGCCTTGTCGTGACTGTGTTATTGTTAGTAGCCATCGATGTCTCACAGCATCGCAATCATCTACGAAGTCGTCGCAACTTACAAATGCCAAAGCCCGTACTCCATCCCCGAAGCCATGCTCTTGGCCCCCTCACAAGTCTGCACGCTAGCCGTCTTATACGTAAAAGGGTCCTTCTGAATGACCTCCGAATCTAAAAAAGGTAGACAACCGGGCAAAGACTCTCCATGCACATCGACAACGTGCTCAAGCGTTAGTCTATCGATGAATATCCAGTCTTTGGGAATGTCGAATTTGGGACGGCTTCTTGTCCATTTCTCGATCTTGTTGTGTGCGATGAAGTTACAACCACCGAGCGCCTTGTCAACACGCGCGAAAAGCATCCTGAAGCCGAGTTCGTCGCATACTTCCCGGAGAGCTTTGAAGTTGGTAGAGTCTTGTTTGGTAAGGGCGCCGGGGAGGGCTTCGAGTTCGTACAAGCGGTCGAAGATGTGGACGAGTAGCTGGGGAGACTGGACACCTGCCTCAGCGTCGCCTTGCCAGTCTTGTAAAGCTCCCTTCAAGGCTTCCGCCTTAGCTTTTAGGGTAGGAAGAGCGAGCGCTGCAAGTATAGCGTCGTGGATCGTGCGATCCGGAGACACCGGTGATGTCACTGTTCTTGCGGTCGACATAACGGCGATTTGCGTTGAGAGACTCAGGTCTGTGATGAACGTGGAGCAAAAGAATCTCATCAATCGAACCCGTGGAATTTTCTCATCTGCGGCTGTTTGTTTGCTGTGCGCCAGTGACCGTGCGCTTTGTCCCTGAATGAGCCGATTGATCTAGACATTTGCCAGTGTGCATACACTTTCCCCTTGCCAAGACAATTTGCAGAGTACGTCAACGGTAAGTAAAACGTCTGAGATGATACGTGATCCATTGCATTATCCCACTTCACCGCGTATCAACATCTCACCATCATCCCAGGATACCAACATATCTCATACCAATGTGCCCCAAACGCCTTGATCGCTATGCATAACCTTATTACCAACACTAACGCCATTACCGATGCTACCACCAATAATTACATAAAGTACAGATACCATACACCGCTCGCTTGAAAGAGAACACGACGTATACGACTTTGCCCATTGCTGCTCTCTCTATGTACACACGCTATTCTACTCATCTTCCCAACAGGCCGGAAAACCAGTTGGCTAGGTTCTTTCCGCCCATGCTGGGGGTGAAGGAGAGTACACTATCCGTGTCTCTATCTCTATCGCTGTCGCTTTGTGAAAAACTGTCTGTGCTGCTACTCTCGGGCGTATGCGGGTTGGCATCTGACGTCTTCTGCGCGTTGGAATTGGTCACTCTGGGAGAGGCGCGTGGGAAAGTCATGCCGCGTGCACGTACAGGCGATGTACCTGAACTGGGTTTGTCGCGACCATGGAAACTGTGAGAAGGCTTGGGTGTGCGATATGAGTGAGAAGTTCTAGGCGTTCCACCTCGTGAGATTGCGAGTCGTGGGCCGAAATTCGAAGGAAGGATCGGCGATGGTGTGTCCGTGTCGCCGGAATAGGATGTTGGTGTAATAGATGTTGGTATATCGCGATGTATTCTTGGCATAATGCTTGGTCGCATGGGCGGATGTATATCGTCTGTCTCCGATTTCGAAGACGCGTCATCGATGTGTGTTGCGCTAGTCACGACTCTGATGGTTGAGATGAGCGGGTCTATACTCTCTGTAGAAGTAGAAGGAGACGAAGACGTGGGCGTAGACGTAGATGACGCTGCCGCTACTGGTAGGTCCAGCCCCGTAGCTGCGGCAAATCTCATTTGCATCGATAGCGGAACGCCGCCGGTCTTGACCCAGGGGCGGATTGTAAATTGTCTTTTTGGGAGATCTAAGACCACGGATCAGCTCAAATACAGACGGGAAGGCTAGGAATAGATGGCAGGCGTCTAGGCAGGACCACCTTCATCTCCCTTGGCCTCCTCTGCATTATCTGCTGGAGCTTCCGCTTCTCCGTTTTGGCCATCAGCACCGTCGCCGTTTGGTTCAGCAGCCGCGGCGGCAGCGGCAGCGGCAGCAGCTTCGGCTTCCCGCTGTTGTTTTTCTGCTTTGGCTCTTTGTCTTGCGGCTTCTCGCTCAAAGTTCTCCTTTCGTGCGCGCTCATCTTTTGCTTTGCGGAGGCGCTCTGCTTCCTCGACGCCGCCGCTCTTCTTGAGCTTGCCTTCTTCGACAAAGTTTCCAAGCTCGCGCTTGAACTCGTCATCGTTCCTCGTCTCAAGATCCCGCTGTCGCGCCTTTTCCGCTCGCTCGATGGCTTCGAGCCTGCCTTCATGGTTTGGTTGCAGGGCCTTGACTTCTCCAAGTACTCCATCGCGGGCCTGGCGTGGATCCACAACTTTGTCGAGAGCAACTGCATTGAGCATGTTACGGCCACTAGCTGAACGCATCCCCTTTCCAGACTCTTTCTCGCTTTCAAGATTCTGCTGTTTGGTCGCCTGCTCGACCAGCTCAAGTGTTTGGGCTGCTTTCTCGAGATCATCTTGCAAGTCGGCTGCGAGTTCCTCCTGCATAGTGAGCATGTCTCGCTCTTCACACACAGTCTGCAACTCCTGTTCCCAAATCTTGGTCCAGAGAGGCTTCTCCTTTGCCAGAAGATCTTGCAGCTTCTTGAGCTCGGCAGTGGCTGTCGACAGGTCCTTGGCGGTGGTTTCGAGTTGGCGGGGCAGAGGTCGCACGCCACGCAGAACGACGTCCTTTCTGAGGTCTTCAACAAGATCTTGTAGGTCATCTACCCTGTTGACAATCTTCTCCGAGTCGTCTTGCAGGCCCTTCTTGCCAGCGTTAATGTAAGCGCGACCGCTGTCTCCATCGAGTGCGGGTAAGGCAGCCTTGATAGCAGTGGACTTCACAGCACTGGCCTTTGTGCGTATGGTGGACATGCTAGCTTGTATATCCGATACAAAAGATGAGTATGTTTGTCGCATGACAGCCAAATCACGGCGTAGCGATTGTACCTCGCTTACTTGAGTGGCTGAAGTAATGTTGGCTTCGGAGGGTGTGCCTAACGGTATGGGACGAGAGGGTAGCAGGGCGGAGTTGCGAGCTGAAGAAAGAGGTGCCGCTGATATACCAGCAATCTCCTTTGTCGTTTGCTGTTGACGTTCGGCCACGCGTTGTATAGTTGCTTGCTGGTCCTCGACCACTGTCTTGATGCTCTCCACCAGTTTGCTGAGTCCGCCAAACTTATCATCGATATGGCTCTTTACTTCGTCGAGTTGCTCTACGTTCAGGACGAGTACAGACCTGTCTTTGATATCGTTAATATCCTCCAACTCGTATCGTACACCGGAAACGGGGTCCTGGATGTGGATTTCAGGCAGGTCCCCGTAACGGTGGGTATCCCAGGCGAACTTTTCGATAAAAGCGAGTTGCAGGCGGGCCGAAGAAAGCTCAGCACCATCTGTGAAGACGTATTTCTTGATCTTGCTTTTGTACTGGAGAAACAAGGTAAGCTCTTTCCCTTGTTGAGGTGACTGCTCTGGAATGAACTGAGAGGGCTGTGGAGAGGGCGTCTTGACTCTGTAGGAGCTGTTGCGGCTAGCTGTAGGCCTGGGCGGGTCTTCTTTCACCGGTGATGCGGCTCCAAGCTCAGCTGGCTCTGATAATGGACCATTAAGCGTCGCACCTAGCGAGAACTGGTCGCCTTCTGGGAATTTCGGCTGCGCGAGTTTATCGTCCGGGGTCTTCTGGACGGGACTGTCTTCAGGACCCGACTCTTTCGGTGGCAGAATGCTCGGCGTGGCGCTTTGCGAACTTTCCTCGGAAATGCGTCTCTCATTGGGCTGATCAAAGGAGAACTTTGTTTCCACAGCAGGCCTCTGTTGCGTGAGACTCTGATTTGACCGCTGGCGACTGTGCATCATGGACTGCCTGGTCCGCACTGCGTTCATGGACTCGCGTACATCCCGACCCCTATTCGGTATGGGCGAATTCTGGACAGGTGGAAGTGGTATGCCATTTGTCCCAAGATGCTTCTGGATCTGGTATGCTGAAAATCGGCGCGACGCCCTCCGCTCCAGCTCACCACCTCTCTGCAATGCCGCGAGCGCATCTTCCTGTTTCGGTGGAGGTGGAGGTGGTGGAAAGTCGACCGGGTAGTTCGGTCGCGGGGGGTCAGGTGGCTTGGGCATGGCATCGTCTGCGGGATACGGAGCAATGACAGGCATTTGCTGGGCGGTGCCACTTGAAATGGACGAGTCGGTGGATAGTTGGCTTGCGGTGGTCGAGCGGTTCGCTTTCGGGTTCGAAGGGAGGGCATCGTACTTGCTCGGAGAGGCGCGGCCGCCAGCTACCGAAGATGAGCGCGGTGGGAGGTCGGGGCCGCCAAACGACGGGCTGTCCCCTCTTGAAGGCAGTCGTGTACTTGCGGATCGCGGTTGTTGGTGCTCCTCGACATCACCACTGCTCCCAACGCTGCCCTGGCGCGGACTGCCCCCACCGTTGAGCGAGCCATCTCTTCCTGTGCGCTGCCGTAACCGCTGTTGCTTCTTCTTCAGGCCGTGCAGGAGGTTTATGATGATGTCTCGTATCCGCGGCAGGAAATTGTCGAGGCTCGCTTGCGATGCTTCCTGGCTCAGCGTCTCCTCCAGTATGCCACGCAGTAGTTCGGGAACGTTTCCGAGGTCGTTGGTGTCGACGCCAATCGCGTTGAAGGCGCGCGACGCGATGTTGAACTCATAGCCCAGACGCACGTAGACGTCCGAGACCTCGCTCTCGGTGGCGGTCCCGCGCGACCATAGTGTCAACGTCTCTGCACCGTGTTAGCACGTGTGTATGCGGGGCTGCACGCGCCGGGGACGCACCGAGGAGCTGCTTGGTGGCCACAAGCAGGTGTGTGACGGACTTTTCTATCTGCGAGAGCTGCTGCTGGGGCTGCATTGGATGCGGTGTCAGTGACGGTTGTTTGGTGTTGGGCGCGGGATGCGGAGAGAGAGAGAGAGAGAGAGCCCACGTACATTCTTGGGCGCACGGCGCGAGGACCCCTGAGACGAGCGGACAGAAGACGACTCCTCAGTCATGGTGCCGAGGGCGTGTGGCGCAGGTGTGCGGCAGCAGCAGAGTGAAGGGCCGGACTGGGAGCGCGAGGGCACGACGCTCTATCCTGGCAGTGTTGGCGACCACGTTGGGTGCACCGACGTCTGAGATGCCTGGGGCGAGCTAACACGAGAGTGGCTGGGCGGCACGTGGAGCAGTCTCACGTCCAACCTCACAGAAATTGTTTATTCCATCGTTGAGCCTCTCTACGTCATGGACGGACACGAGAGGTTGCCATGGTAGTTGGTGAAAGCCGTCTTGATGATTGCATCTCTATCTTGGGCATGCATCTGCGGTTAGCGACAGGCAAAACCATGGAACATGTGACGCCCCGTCGCTTAGGTAGGCTTCTGACGTGAGTCTGCGATGTAGCTGCAGCCCTGGAGACTACGGCCGGCATCCGGCCTCTCTTCGCGCTACCACCTCAAGCTGCTGCTGCTGGGTGGGTGGTGACTGGGGTAACCGTTGTGTGCATGCACTCTAGTACTCTAGCATGCTTGGAGCGCGACGAACAGGTGTTGCCCCGTATTTGGTGATGCAAGCTCTAGTATTGTTTACTGCAGGCGTCTCGGACAACACGAG